CAGGTGTACTTAATATTTCAAAGAAAAGAAATGCGCAGGACACGAGTGACCCAAAGGTGTGTATTAAGGGTTAAGTAACTTATTCATGCGTGCTTAATCATCCATTAGTTAAATCATTAGTTTTATCTGATAAACGTAGATTATATGTATAATATATTATTATCTTCAATGATATATCTCGTCCAAAATGGAAAATATTTATATCAACAGGAATGCAATCTGTCACAAGAATCTGCGATGGCAATTATTCGAGAGCGCACGTTCGATGGTAGATCCATCGATCAGTCCGATGACACTTAGGAAAATGAAGAGCCGCCTCGAAATGCGACTTCGTTTAGTTCGCGCGACGTTTGGTTCACTTACGCACGATTACCGCCGCGTGCGGAAACGCTGACTCGACGTCGATCGATATCGACACAATGTCGAAACGAAATTAACGATGGGATAACCAACCGAAAGAAAAAAACAACTGAGAACAACACGAGAGAAGAAAGAAGAAATACATTTTAAACAATGGATTGCAATTAATGCCTTTATTTGACCAGGTACAAATATATCCATCGTAAAAACAGATGCAAATTTGTAGCATTGGAAGAGGATGAAGAATGATAAAAAAAAGAGAGAAAAGATCAGAGAACGACAAAGCCGGACGGTAATAAACCACGAGTATCTAAAGAAAAACTTGATAAACTTGAGTTGCCATCTTTATCACTCTTCTTCTACCACCAGCACCCTGCTCTCATCTAAACCCTTCATACCCTTCGCGTAACCGCTTCATCTCTTTCTCGCCAATGACCAACCGACGGCCAATCTCTTTGCATCTTTCGCGACCTCTCCTTCCTTTTCGATCGGCTTTCTCGTGTCTCTTAGTACCTTCACTTTCATTTTATCTCTTTTAATGCCACTTTTTCTTCAGATTTTTTTCCGAGGATTTTTGCGCTTAATTTCACGCTATAAATTAATAAAAATCATGAACGATAAAGAGCGAATGCATGGAATAAGCATGACTTATAAATGTTAACCTCTTAGTGAAGAATTAACGAAACCGAATTCGCAATGAGCAACGAATAGTAGAGAAATCAATAAATAACAAAGAGAACTTATTAATTTTTATTATACCTTTTATTATATTCCTCCCTAATTCCAAATAAAATGAAAATATCGCATAGCCATTATTCATGCTTACACAAATTTTGTAATGCAAAAATAACATCTCTCACAAAATCTATAGTTATTCCATCGTTCAACGTGTATGAAAATTATTTATATTAATTATACATGTATACGTATACATGTTTTAACAGATATCGAGAATAATAATTAAAAATCAAATTAAAAGTAACTGATAAAAATAAATGGAATAAACATTTGAGAATAAAAAAAACGGAAACAAAACCAAAAATATTGTAATAATACCACAATCCTATGATGCATTGTAAAAAAAGGAAATATTGTACAATACATGGAATGTTTCACATATCCCATTTCCATTTTTTGTTTGCATTAAAAAACAACAATAGTAAAAGAAAAATGTAACATCAACGATCGATAATTGTGGAATATTTACGATGTGCGACATGCGTTATTTACAAAATATAACTGATATGCGATTAAAAGCGACGATCAACAGAGTTTGTTTGCCACATTTGAGATACGTGCTATACGCTTCGTTTTGCAATTTCGTTGATTTTAAACTACTCGTGGGCGTAACATACTTGCATAATTAGCGCGTTTACGGCGCAAAGAAGTATATCGTAACTATATTTATTTTTATTTCTACAACTAACATCATGGTATCGTTTACCGATATCGTGCTATGTACATATCCTATACGCACATTCCTAATCGCGAAAGCAGAGACGCGATAAATCATTGTGGCTGTCATAAAGATTGGTACCTCCGATAGGAAGAATACCTGTATGTATTATATTTCTTATAGCTACATACAAATGCATTGTGATTATATGCATTGTGATTGATCCTGAGCATAGTGTGGATTTTATCGTATTATTTGGTCGTTTTTTTAAATTAATAACGAAGTAAAACTTCCATTTTATCGTTTATTTTATTTTTATTTTAAAAATATAATTGCATTATATATATATATATATTTTGCAAAAGCATAAATAACGTGATCGATAAAGGAATCAAATCAAAAACGTTTTACTAGTAAAATTAAAAATATCTGAATAATGTTCATTATTTATAAAAAGCGTATATTTAGAGAATGATTATCGATTAATGTAACGGTAATACGTTTTAAGAAGTATCCTGGATTATTTCCCGTGGCTAAATATTTTATATAGCTTAAAAATATTTCTCTATTAGCATAATAATTTACTATTATAATTTATTATTATCATAGTTAATTTTTCTTATTCATTTTATAAATCAATATGATATGACATTTCTTACTATATTACTCTCGCTTTTGTACTGACAAAAATTTGTCACATTCTTTAGAGTTTTTGAACTATGTGTGAAAATATATTAGAAAAGATCCTGTTTCTCTATTGCCATTAATTTTACATACGCAAATCGATCGTTGCAAACGATAAATTATCTGGCATTAGTTTTTATGCAACGCGATTGTAAAGTGCGAGAGAATCGTAATGGTGATATTCGCTTATGAATATTTATGGCAAAATACGAAGAAGAACGAAATAAGATCTCGTAGCCATTATAGCGACATGCAGTCCGCTTTCGTTTTGCTTGCTTTGCATTCGCGAGCTCGTTCATTCGCTTGTTGGAATACTTAACACCTTTTGATACGTATATACGTAGGGAACAGGTTTTTGCTGCTTATTTTACATTGGTAGTTGCAGTCAAAAGAATCAAATCGCGGTATGTAAGTACTGTAACTTATTAACGTGGCGATTCAATGTGTCTAATTAATAAAATCGCATAAATTAATTTTTTATAAAATATACAGGATGGATGCACTAAGATACTCTAAAAGATTTTAAGAAATGATTTCTCACACAAATTTAAAAATACATATGATCATGCGTCCGAAAAGGCTTATAATTAGTTTCAAAGATACAAGGTATCAAAGTTTAAGGAAAAAATTCGTTTTTTCTAGAATTTCTAATGAAACTTTAAACATATATAAAGTTTCATCAAAATACTGTTTCCGAGTAATTTTCGAAATTTTTGGAAAAACAAAATTTTTCCTTCAACTTTGACACCCCATATCTTTAAAATTAAGCGGTTTCGGACGTATAAAGTTTTCATTTTGAATATGTGTGAGAAGTCACCCCTTAAAATCTTTTACAGTTGATTTATAGGCCACCCTGTTTTCGTTTTTATATACATAAAAATTGAAAGAACTGCTGTAATTTCAGTGCTAATCAACATATAGCAATTAATGTTCTTCGTGGTAAACAAGTTGACATTTATTTTTATATATTCCCCTTCCCCTCCTTTTCTCTTTCTTACTATTAGATTTATTTGATTTAACGAGGTGTGAGAGAAACGTGAGATTGATATTTCTGATATCGTCAAAACGGTTACGTAACACAAGGAAAATTAATTTTACTTAAAAAAATTTCATTCTAGGAATCGCTCTGTATACACTTGTGGTATAATCAGTATCAAATCGTGACTCGTTTCAGATTCAAAAGCTAGCAAAAAAGCGTACACACACGCGATGCACGCCATATGGAAATAGATTGAAATAAATATGACGTAAGTTGCGTTGTATTAAATAATGATCCACTCGTTATACGTGCACGGGTTAACGTGCTGGACCGAAACATGTGTATGTAAATTACGATATCTTGCGAATAGTATCATACAGTCACGCCGTTGACCACTGACGCGCTCGTTGCATGAATGCACGTAGCAAAATAAAAGCGAACAAATGCAAGAACAGAAACTTGCACTCGCGGCTGTGTACAGTTCGTGCGCTTGTAAATGCAATCACGTATGAAAGCCAAAGAGTTATTTCCCTGAGTACACCAGCGACGATAAAAAGCATGGTGTCGTCCATTCGCGTCAAACAACACCGTGTCTAATACACTCAATCACGATTATTATTTTCGTCTGCTCCTCTTTTTTTCGAAAATACTATTTTGTGGTAATAAAAGAGAAACTGTGTTACCTTGAATTTTGTCGCGACTGAGAATTCATTGGTAGCCTTTGCGAAGACGTTCGCGGAAGAATTTTAATCAAGGCTGAACACGCTTGAATAATAACGGATGCGACAGCCAAAATAACGGATATTATAATATCTGTCTTAATAATAAAAAAATGCGAATGCTATTGCCTTGTCTCGTTATGCATTCTACATATTCTTTTTTTTTTTTACAATAACGCCACGTTGTTGCCACGCAATTCATTTTCGAAATCAAATAAGATACTACTTGAATACAGTTTAAATGCAACATGCAATCAACAGTAGTGCACTATTCCCGGGTTGATAATACTGCCAGTCTGTGAATAAACTTGCTCGATACAGCGAATATTCCGTGGAAACGGCGCCACGTAGACGGAATAATTAATTTGTATTTAGGGAAATTATTACTGCGCTCGTGTATATTTTACAAATCCAAGTTAATTCGAAATTAGTGTTAAATCGGTATATGTATGCTTCAAAAAGTACAACGATCAATTGATAATAATTTTAATGAATGTAATTAAAATTCCGGCCTATCGACGTCAACGTCGATGCCGACGTGATTAATCGAGAATGATGCAATTGCTTGCATTTAATCTTTACTCCAGCTCCGCTGCGATTGTGCTCGACGTCCGTTTAAATTATGCAGACATTTCAATGGCTAATAAACTAATTATTCCTGAATAAATTTTATCTGTGCTCTACATTATTATAAAATATATCCTATTATTATAAACAATTTTTAATATTCCTGATATGTTATTATGACAACATGATGAATATAACTAATGTACTTATAAAATTTGCAGGAATTTATATTTTATTAGTCCTCGTAGTAATTCCACATTTAGTAGAATTATGATGTATCGATAAAGTCAGGTTTCCGACATGAATATTCGAGCAATATAATAAAACATTAAAGTGACCTAATTAAAGTGACCTAAAGCCTGCGGAATTGCGGTTTGACAAAACGTACATGTCTCGACTTCCCGTAAACATCACGTTGATTTATGTCGGTCCCATTACCTCTCGGTAGAGCTTTTGCGCATGCTGCACGATCTATTTTTCTTAAAGTAGCAACTTGATGCGTCATACCTGAAACAGAAAAACAAGATGGCTCTTAGAGTCAATGATATAGTATTCGCGAAGTAACAACTAACATCTTAGCGTCGAATGATCGCATCGATTTCGAGAGGAGTGAGTCACTCGAGCGAATCGAGTCAATCATCTAAGTGTATAACGCATACCTACGAGAAACACGTTTGGTAAATGGCGAACCATTTTTGCAATTTAAATAAAATTATCAAACGGATGTGTGTCGCGCAAATGTTTCTACAATTTCTTCGTAAACAATTTCTTCGTCACACCGTTGTTGTCGTTACGTAACGTCGTAACTAGCCAGATGCAACTTGTCGCTGTCCGTTGTTCTATTTCGCTTTTAACGGGATAGTTGACTTTCAGATTATTACGTGCAAATTGAGTGTTCTCTCGTGCAACATGAAATTCAGATTTAGAACAAGCCGAGCGCGCGCGCTACCGGGCCGTATTATATCATTCGCTATTGACCGTCCCTAGCTGTTTTCACGGTAAATACTCCTTGCTGACTCGGATATAATAACGAGGATTAGAATTTTCAAATTAGATTGCAATATATGCCGCATTCAGATGAGATAAAGAATTTTCCATTGTGCAAATTATTGTGTGAGCGAGTGTGAGCTTCGTTCGCGGTTTTATGTTTCGTCACGCGTAATAAATCTTCGAGATCGACGTGTCCCGCGTCGTAATATTCATAATGTGACTTAAAAACTGCTCGAGTAGAGATAACTGTACCATTCCGCACGCGATACCTTCGAGATCGGTGATCGCAATAAATGTAGATCTCATTTTTAGCTCCTTTCCATTCTTAGTCTGATTTCGTATTTCCAAGTGAACGTGCACGTGTGCGCAGATCGCAAATTCCGTCATAACGCGGATTTGCGGATATTTAATAGTCAGCGCGAGACTGGTTATCTTGTGGCCTCATTGTTTCGTCGAAATTCCCCCGGAATCGAAAAACGACTATACATCTGGAACGCCGATCGTAAAGCTTCGTATATGCTGTAATGCCTCGCGTACTGCTTATGCGAAAGAACATTCTCGTGCTATTCACTCCGACTTCCCGCTCGCATCTTATCCTCTTTAGTTCATCTTTCATCTTCTTCCTCGATTTCACCGTTCCTTTCTTTTCGCTTTTCCTCTTCTTCCTCTCATTTCTTCCTCATATTTTGTACCGCACCAACAATTCTGCTCGTCTTATTTCTACTCCTCTTCGCCCTTCCATCCTTTCAGGACTTCATTACGAAACGTCGAGGGCAAGCTTGTTTGCAACATGATTCGTGTCTTTTGTCATTGTATATGAACAATGTCCTTCGAACATTCCGTACTATTTAACTTGTAACAGAGATATATATTTTTGTGATGATAAATATATACCATATATAGGTTGTTGCCACTAAAGTTTTTTGTTATTGTTTTAAAAGTTCTTTTCAACTATATAAAAAATTGAAATACTTGAACTCTTCTCTCTCTCTCTCTCTTAGCATAAATATAGTACGATAATTAGCCTAGTATACAAATAAAACAAGATATATATGTATAAAAAATAAGATAAATAAGAAAAATAAGAAAAATAGGAAAATGTCCCGAGATCGCCAGGATTCTTATGTTCCAGTTACGGGTTAAAAACATTCGCGAAAAGTTACACGTTTATAAAATCAGGAATTCCTGAACAAATTAAATATACACAAATATATTTATATTTTTTTTATTTACGAATTTAATTACAGCTACTTAAAAATATTCGCGAAAGATTACGCATGATTCATTCGTAAAATTATGAATTCTTAGACAAATTAGAGACACATAAATATATTTATGGAAAATTAATAACAGTTACTTAAAAATATTCGCGAAAAGTTACGCATGGCTAATTCATAAAATCATAAATTTCCGAATAAATTAGATGTACACAAGTATTTGTGGAAATTTAATTACAGCACGAATACGAGTACAAATAAACACGGTTGTTTCATGTCATCCCTGTGATAAGAACGTTCCGAGAATATCGATTCTGACCGTATTCGTGGCGCGGCGGCAGGGACTCGTTAAAAAGTCAAGATTTACTATCAGAAAATCTTATTCGGAAGTTTCAACTTTTTTTCCTCCTTATATTTACCTTACATTTACGCGTTTTCTCATGTTAAAAGTAATTTTAGAAAATCGTTACTTTGCAATCGTTATTTTAATCCTGTACTGACAACGAGAGGAAAGTTTTTAGAATTTGTGACTGTAATTACATGGTAAAATAATAAGATAAATATGATTAAGAGCTCCATTTTATAGTTATTACTGCTATAAGTTAATAATAATAATTACATTTATATACTGTTAGTAATAATATTTAAATATATTTATGATTCTGTCAAAAAATATATATTTATCATCAAAAATGACTATAAATTATAGTTAAATTATGGTAATTGCAATCATTTCCTCTTTCAGGGTGCTGTTTATTTTCGACACAAAGCTCAGTCATTTAAAAAATAGTATAAGTTTTTATAAATAATATAATTCTTATGAAAAAAAAAAATATCGAGAAAACATTCCAATAACAAGTAAGTTTTATTAAACAATATCTTTGTTAGAAACTAAATAGAGAATTTGTTCCGCGAAATATAATTAATATATTCTAGAGTTAATGTATTCTATCATAAATATTCAATTATTAATATTTTCTATGCCATTTTGTATTGTTGTCTCATGCTTGTATTGTTTATATCATAATGTTGCATTCGACATTGGTAAAACTTATATTGCTATCTACTTTATATTGTTGTGCCACATTGTTATTGTCCAACGTTTCTGAAGTAGAACGACAAGCGGTGATCACGCTCAAAGTTATGAAAACTCTTTCAAAGACTCTTTTCGCATCGGTAAAAGGGAACTCTGAGGCGAAGTTGAGAAAACGCGTGGAAGAATTCTACGCGCGGCTCTATCGATCCGCGAAGCTCTGTGACAACAAACACAGATAGAAGAGCTGATTGGGCGCCTAATTAAGTTAATATGTTCGATTAATACGTCCGTGAAATCGCGAGCGTCGCTGCTACACGTTTGTCCTCCTCAGCGAAGTTCATACGAACGATCTTACACGATGTCTGGTTAAACGAATTTAGCGTTCGCGTGCAATCAGCGTGAATAATGGACAAACCTTGAATGCATTTAACCCTGTGTGTCCTGGTTTTCAAATAGATTTTAATTTCAACCGAACGCATATATATTGTAAATTCGTCCAACTTAACTACAGTTAAAATATTACATTCTCGAATATTTCTTTATCACTTTATCTTTCCGTCACAGCGGAGAATTATTTGAAAAATGAAATTATATATCTCTTCTCTTTTATATTCATTCTCTTTGTTTAGTTCACGTAATATTGATATTACGAAGATGGAAAAGAGATTTTAAGCATTGATAGCCAAAAGTTTAATCCATTTCACGCTTTGTCGTGATAAAAAAAATCCGAGATTTCTCAAGTTTAGAATTTTTCTCGATTCCACCTTCATTTGAGAATAGTTTCACCGAATTTCCTGTAAATGTCGCTTACGCGTTGCTGATCTTCGTATGCGCTGTGAAAATCGTGGGACACCACTAGCAGAGAGAATCGTTTAGACTTCTCTGCGAGTTCTCGGTCTGGTCTCGAAGTTGTTCCTCGCAAATCAGCCGCATTGCTGCTCGACACTAGGTGGTTTCGCTTGTTTAACTCTGGCGCGTAGAACCGATGAAGGAAAGAGAGATACCAGAGAGAGAAGAGAGAGAAAGAGAGAGAGAGAGAGAGCGCGCATGGAAGCGAAGGAAGAGAATTCGATCGTTAAACAACTGAGCGTTCCCCTCGATATTTATCATTCGGAAATCGATCAGTAATCAAACGTCGCGCTCTGAGGTTTCAATTTCGGTTTAACTACGCGGAGATCATTAATTAGTACTTTTGGCAACATTTGGTGTACTTTCAAAAAGAGTCACAATTGTAAAATCATCATTTTACACAGGAAGATATAAACGTTGGCAATGATCGAGTTTCCGACTGGAAACATGGATATAGCGCCATTACTGGGCTCTGGAGAGTAATAGTGCCATTTTCCACAGCTATTTATCAAGTACATGAATGGTTGTTATTTATTAATAATCTTTGAATAATTTCGATGGAAATTAAATATATTTTTAATTGAATTAACTTCGAAGATATTCTTTATATTTTTTATCAATAACAGGAATAAAATAAAATCATATAAAATAGTCCCATTTCGCTTTAATGTATAAAATTTAAACAACGAAAAATAGTAAAAATTAAAAATTTATTCGCGCGTACCATGGACATGTTAAATTTAATGTACTAATACTAATATGCGGGAATATTTTATAAAATGAGCCTTCCAATTCGGCCAACTCATGCATAACGACCGCATGTATAATTTAACAATGGCCGGTGAAAAAAGGAGCCCAATGCATAATTTAATATAATTCGCCTTTTCTCTCTTTCGATCGTAATTTCAGGAAAACTAACTTTTAGCATTTGTGGCAATTCTTTCTCATTGGGGGCGTGATATTTTTTGCGTTGAACGGATTATCGATTAGACCTAACTGCGCTTTATGCGAAGTGCAACATGTCGAGGTATAACACGTACTTTATACACAACATACACCATATACACACATACAAATCCTATCAACTTCCCACTACTCGCGTTCCAGCTTAATAGAAATCGACAATCGGCGCGGCGCGGCGTTTGGATCGTTAGACTCTCTAAACTAACGTATTATTTTCGTTAACCGTGACGAGAGAGATGCGCTTCTTCCCCCTCCATCAAACTTGAAAATAAAAAAGTCCGTAAAATAGGATTGCTAATTTCTAATTAGCAGTCGCGTGATTACAATTGTTGTTATATACGCGAAATAACACGGTTATATAAATAAAAGATTGCGATGAAAGCGTAAGTTAACGACAAGAAGAAAGATGAGAAAGAGAAAGAGAGAAAGAAGTCGGAGCATTACTAATAGTA